TCAAAAATTATACTTGGATTTTTTTTGATTATATTCTAGGTGAAAAACGACTCTGAATGTTCATAAATCATGTGACGAAATCAAAGACTACTAAACATTACAGAAGAAAATATTTTTTATCCACTCAAATTTTGAAAAAAACTGGTTACTAGCCTTCAGCAAAAATCGTTGTAGTTTTGGAACGAAAACAGCTATCGGCCTCGACCTTGTGTGGATCGATAGAGATGCAGACAGGCTATCTATCCACTGTATTATAATCAAAAACGCATATTGTATTTATGTCAGATTTGGTTCATCTTCAAAACTCATAGTATATACAGAAGGAAAGATGACTGAAATGTTTCATCGACTTTATGAAAAGATAGAGCAACCTTGACTCTAGATAATGTTAAAATATCAGCTCTTCATCTCTTGTTATTATGAAGTCATTCGAAAAATGCCCACAAACATTTATGTCGGAAATGGACAATAGATGAGGGAATGCATTTCCTGATGATTGCCAAAATTTAAGCACATCATCACAACTAATATCTAATTGTAAATAATTTTGTATTTCGTCCAGAATAGGATCAAAATCAGATGTTGATGGTGGTTTGTGTTTCTGAATCAAGTTTTCTTTAAGTTTTTTCAAGTGTTTTACCGGTGAATTTAAACTTTCCACTGACAAATAGCGTTTCATTGAAGTAGATGATGCTATTGTTGTTGAATTTGAGTGCAATGTCGCTGTTTTTGTTGTGGTTATTGATGAACGCGATTGTGATGGTGATGATGTTGATACATTGTTTGTTGCAAATGCTTGTGTAAAATGATTGATTTTGAACTGTTTGATCATTTCAGATAATATTAATTCTTTTGTTGTATGACATTGAGTTACATAACGACTTATATCGATTTTTAATTGAGATGGATCAAGTAAAAATGCACAAATATACAGAGAAGTCACTGGAAATCGATTATCCAAGTTTGCTGACATTAAAAACTTTAAATCTTGGATAACTAATGACTCCAATCCATCATTGTGCAGCAAAGATTCAATTTCCTAGGATAAATGATCATATTAAATATTTTTTTAAACTAAATATTATATCAAATATATATTCGCGAAAATTATCTCGAAATCATAAATGACACTCAGTGTTTGTAAGTATCCTTTTCTGATCTAGTCTGATTATCACTGCTTAGTATTTAAGAAAAGCTATTTATAGTTTTAATTTTAAATACTTACTATTCTTAACAGTAAGCCTAAACTGATAGTTGGATAAGATTTTGATGCTGATAGAATAGTAGTTGTTGATTCACATAGAGAAAGAAATTGAATTAAATCACGAACAATTTCATTTTCAGCAGCAGTTAATATTAAGTCGAACTGTTTTAATCGACCGAGTATAACTTCAATACCAGGTATGTTATCGGCATAGGAACAAAGCATAACCAAAACTGTGTTCCAACGTGTTACAATACGTTTTTTCAAAGTGTGAAATCTTTTGAAACCATTATTGTTATTGATCAATGCAGAACAGTTGGACTTATATGTGTTTTCGCAAGCATTTGACCTGAATTTTAAATCATCTGATAACCACAATGCTTCTAAATTATCATTTTGAAGTTTTTCATTCAATACTTGTGTATCATCAGCATCAATATGTGTTGAAGCTAAATCTGCATCTATGATTTCACCAGCTTTATCAATGGATGAAAGCAAATCATTAAAACGATTTTCATTCGATCGAAAATATTCATTTTCAAGTTCATGTTGACGATAACGAAGCTTGTTACTAATTGGTTGAACTTTATCTAAGATTTCTGAAACGTAATGCATATTATGAAAACAATCCTTCATTAACAAATTGTGAATCCCATGACCAGCACAAAATATATGAATGACATTTAACAATCTCCACCCTTTTCGCATATTTGAACCTTTATCTAACACCTAAGCAAATAAAACGATGCTAGTTTCTAAAATTTTGATGAATAAATTCACTTACTACAATTACATTATTTGGGTTTATGCCAAATTCATTTAAAACGTTCGATACAAGATCTTGTATTGATTCACCTTTATGAGCTTCATTAAACGGTTGTGTTCTTAAACTATATTTATGTAGCTGCAAGTTTGAAACCAGAAAATGAAACGTGATGCAAATATATGAACAATGTTTATACTTGTCGGACCATGCATCACATGTTATGGTCGGATAGTTTGTTGATGACTTTATTTGTTCGTTTGTTTTATCAACACATACATTATAAATTTTATTAAGATTCAGAGGTGATAAAGTAGTTCGTGATGGAATATCGTATTTTGTATTAACGATTTTGTTAGAGATTAAAAACTCTTGGAAACCTAAACATAAAAATAATTAATAGTTGCATAACAACTTCTTTAGGATTTCCTACCTTCATTTTCAACAATTGAAAATGGAAGAAGATCTTTACAACACATTAAACTCAATTGATGCCCGAGTTTTTCTTTCAGTTGTGAAGAACTTGTTGTGTCACGGTTACGTGCAAACATTGAAACAATATGTTTATTTGTTTTCTTTATTGCTTGTGCTTCTGTTATTTGATGCATTGCCAACAAATGGTTTCGCATATTTCTTGTACCGCTTGTTGCACTATAAGTGCCAATTTGTCTTCGAACTGAAGAAAAACTTGTATCAGGATATTCTTCCTTTATGTTTTCAAAGCACACTTTGCAATAAATTCGGTCGAGATCTAATGCTTTCCTTGGATTTTTGTATAAATGTCCAAAATAATTCCAGATAAATGACGGTCTTGGTACATTGGGTAGTTGTATATGAACAAAAAGAGTTTTATTTAAATCATCAATTTTGTCTGGATCAAGTGGCATGTTGGTCTATGATTAAAAGAACCACTACTATAATTAGAACAGATAAATAACAACACTAATATTATCAATAAGTAATACTCACCAATAAAGAAAAATGAATAAATAAGAACACCAACAATATCGATAAGTAAAAATCAAAATCAAACAAAAACAAATAAATAACAACACTGATGTTACTGGTAAATTAAAGCCACTACTGAAGACAAATAGATAAATCACAACATCAGTATTAGCAAAAAGTAATACTCACCATTATAGTCAAAATGGATAAGGAACAATATCAATATTATAGATAAGTGAAAATCATCACTAAAGAAAGATAAATAGATAATAACATTACTATTTTCGATAAAAAAAACACCAGTAATGAATAATAGATAAATAAACAATGTCAATATTATCAAAAAAGAACACTGACAACTATAGTTAAAATGAATAAATAACAACACCAATATTAGTGATAAATAAAAATCACCACTAAAGAAAAATAGGTAAATAACAATACCAGTATTATCGATAAGTAAAACCCATCACTAAAGAAAAATAACAACACTGATATTATCGATAAGTGAAAACTTTTAGGAATATCGATGACTAGAAGAATATCTGGATCAGTAACAGTTCTTTGTTTTTTACTTCTAACATACAATTTCTCTTGCTCATCACTGTATGCACAACATACATGATTGGTTACAAAGTTGACTGATGAAAATAACGTAAGATTTTCGATCGCATATGTATAGATGTCAGCGGCAGCGGCTTGTGTTATTAAAAATTTTTTTTCGTCACAGCGGCGCAGTGGCTGATTTTGATTTTTTGACAGCGGCGGCTGCTGAGAAATTTTTAAAATCACCTATGATTTAGTGGCGGCGGCGGCGGCTCGACTGGATGGCTTACACCTCTACTCGTGAAGCGAGCCGAATTCGGTCTCGAATGGGTCGGGTTGGCGGATCGAGTCAAAACAAATCAGTCATCAATATCTCTGCTAACAATTGAGCTAATTGGATGAGACTTCGCATGATAAATAAGGGCAAGTACCTTGAACATTTAGTGAAATAAGAATTTTGAGAATATCATCTATTTAACAAGTAACGTTCATCGGATTCCGATTCACTCATCCCTAGACTAAAAGGCGATGAAATGTGATGTGACTAGATATGTAAATGAGACTATCAAAGGGTACATCTCTCGCTGAAATCCAAAGATGTGCTACAAGAGAAAAGCCGAGTGTTTTTAAACTTCATAATTAGAAATCAGTTCAAAATAAAAGCAATTTAAAGTTAAGAAGTCAGAACTACAAAGAACAGAAACATAAATATCTAAAAGTTGTAAAAAAAGAAATAATATTCATCGAATGCAGATTCACTTTACCGTAGACTGTTGAGTGTTGAATATATTTGAATGACCAAAGAACTGGAGATTTTGAAACAAGAAATTTAAAAAGAACTAATTACTAAGCTTTCGTAGCTCGGTTTTTGAGCACTGATGGCATTCATGGAAACCATGAAGTCTTTCTACCGTTCATAGTTAGGATATTATTAAGTGACCAACTGAAAAGGAATTTAGATTTAAATACAGAGATGTTTCGTCTTTATGTTAGAACAGGTTAAAAACATTAACCAACGTCAATTTTATCTACGGTACAAAAGTTATTCTTCATCCAAAACATCATCTGGAGAGTATAGGCGGCTCAAAGCCGACGCAGGCGTAGCATTGTTTTGTAAAGAGGTCTGGCAACCACTGCACACAACTATCAATCCAGTTTTCGTATCGATCCCGCATCGTCCTAACAGTGCTCCATTCACGAGAACATCGAAACCAGAGAAAGTTTCTAACATTTGTCGAACATAGCCTATTTTGAGTTAGAAAACGTTTCAAAATGATGATTTCCGATCAATAAAGATCCTTACTGGTAAATCGTGAAAAATTAATTTTCAAAACAGAATTCGATATCTCGTCGTTCTGAGGTCGAAGAAGATGCAGATTCGGAAACGATCTGATAGTTAATTGTGACCAATTTTGAGTCAGGATTTTATAGCCGCATACAGCGCAATTTCGGTCAGTTGCCATATTTGAATCATTTTTCGCACGTGTTTTCGCCCTATGAGTCGAAAAGAAAGGAATGTTTGGTAGAAAAAACAAAGAAACTATGAGTCTTACCGATGTTGATCACGATCACGTTCTAATCTAGTATTTCGCTCCGCATCAGTCTCGCGCGCTCGTAAGTTGTGTCGGCGGTTCATTTCTTTAGCACGTTTGGCTGTAAGACATTCTTCTCTCTCCTTTGCGTTTTCTTTTGCATGTTTATCGGCTAGACGTTTCACTTCGTATTGGCTACGTGATATAAGATGCGTTTGCTTCTCTTCGACTGTTTTTTTGACACCAAAATCGATCAATCGCTGTTTTCTGTATTGTCTGTCAATAGCCAGGCGACTCTCTTTTTGTTCAGCAGTCTCAACGAGAGCACGACGGGCACGAAAAGCTCGCATTCGGTTGGTAGAAGTCGACAAGCGGATATCCATTTTCATATAATCGTGAATGTTACTGGAAGAATTAAGATCGGTGGGCGACGAGTTGGCACCGTTATTTCGCCACAATATTGTATTCAAGTAAACAAACTCAAAGAAAACTAAACTATTTATGATGAGATACTAGAAAGTGAAATTAAGCAAAAAGCGTGATAAAACACGAAAACTGAAATCAGATCAGGGAAGACTGATATTTAAAAGACAGAAAAAGCTTACGATATTTTGAAAATTAACTAGAAAAAATGGCAAACAATAGAATCGAGCATGTAGCTAGAAAATCCACCAAAAGGCCAAATTTACCTCGAAGACCAGATCAAAATGCACAAACAACCTCTGCGACCGATTCAAACACAGATGTCACCGATCCAAACACAGACGTCACCGATCCAAACACAGATGTCACCGATCCAAATACAGACGTCACCGATCCAAACACAGATGTCACCGATCCAAACACAGACGTCACCGATCCAAACACAGACGTCACCGATGCAAACACAGACGTCACCGATCCAAACACAGAAAATTTAGGTTTCTAGACCCTAGCCTTTCAGTCTAGGGAATAAGAACGAAGATATTCCGGGAATTTTTTGATCACCCTGTAATAACTATTCTGACAAATATTGTGGTTGTTATATTAGTTCTTTATTTTCAAAAAGAATATCGTTTGATGTTCCAAAAACTCCAAATGAATCTTTGGTCGATGATTTAGAAAACCAAGTTTTCTCTGTCAACCTCACAAATCAAGTTATCATGAATGAGATAAGTGCATTGGAGAATTTTTTTGCTTCTTTTCTATACTAAAATCAATTTCAACCAAAGATCGACAAGTTGGGGTGCGGCTGTGAGTTTTATCTTCCTTTTATCAACCCTCCCACCCAAACCCAAAATTATTTTTCCTTGCATGATACTTATAAACGTGATTGAGTCTAAGTTTATTTTGTTAAGTACAGTTCACAATAAAGTCCGATGAAAAGCGAAATAATTTATTGTTAACGCACACTTCTTCAAGCATACTTAGCGCAGTAAGTGTCATGCGCATTATGTCGTCGTGATTAGTCACTTCGTACAAGAATAAAGCTATGTTTTCCGCTGTTGTATCACGATGAAGCAAATAACTGTGACCTTCTGTGACATTTTTCTTAAGGAAAAGTAAAATTGGGATTAAGATGTCGTAAAATTTTTATTTGCTGTTGTGTACCGATCATTTCTGATGCACAATAGTTGTGCACACGTGTAAGTTGTGGTCGTTCACCATCGTGTCGATAGTCAATGGTGACTGTCACCATCCCACCTAACAGAAAATGAACAAATCTAATTATTGTTGACAAAGAGTATGAAATTTACTTAAAATTAATGTAGAAAAACATCAGTGAATTTTTTTGATATTTGAATTGATTATGGTCTTTAATTTCTTTTTTTAGCACTCAATTCTATCATATTTTTCTTAGAATCAACTATAAAGTATTGCTTGCTCAGAGGTCTCTTTTAGTAGTGGATATTCGTTTTTTTTCAGAAATCAATTAAAACATCAATTTGTATTTTTACACGGCAAACTTTTCGAACTATTAATAATATTTTGTCAAAGCAAATTAAATTACTGTAAAGGTTTCGTAGGCCATCATATGTTAAGATACTGATTCAATCATACAACACATTCGGTCTTCCAGTGTCACACGCATCGTCTCAGATCTTTTATCTTTAATATTAGATGAATACTGATTAGTTTCGAGTTGATGAAACTCTTTCAATTGCTTCTCAGAAGTTGTTTTCTATTGAAAAAAATTAAATTAAGATGAAAAATAACAGATGTCGGTTGCTTCAATATATTGACAGCATTTTACACGAGTTTTTCCAATCTGCAAAAATTGTTAAACTCAGTAAGACATACTTGTAACCATATCTTTCGACCAGGGAGATTCTTATTTCGTTGTCGACATCTGAGTTCAATCGATTGCCTATTTACTCTTGAAATCGCATCAATTTCAATAGTTATTAATATTCTTAAGGTATCAATATGTCCTTGGATTAAATGAGTGTAATCAACACCAAAAGCATAAACTGATGTACACATTTGTTCGAAACAATGTCCTATATCATTTCTGTCCCGGATTCGATTACCATAGCGTCTAAACAATAACGTATAACAAAGTCGCATCACTCTTATTACACAGTCTTCTGGGTCCATGGCGATTTTCCGCAGTGAATTCCTTCCGCTTACAATATTATATTGATGAAAATCAATATTCACACTCTGAGCAGCGATTAATAAAGGTAAGAATGAAGTATTTCTTGGTTGTTAAATGTTATTTTGATTTCTTTCAGGAAAGTATCGTTTACGCTGTGGTTCCATGTAAAAAGAGATTTGATTTGCTGGAACTGTAAGACAATCTCGATATGATTGTGTATCTAGGTGATCTTCAGGAACATGCCAATTGAGATTAAAACCAATCAGAACACGAAACTGGATAT